GAAGCCGGGTGAAGGGCGAATGGGTGAGGAGTCTGCGCGTCCCCCAAGGACAGCGAGGCCATCGAAGATTCAAAGCAGGGGGTGGCGTGAGCTCATTTGAGGTTTTTACAAAACAAATGGTGGCAGCAGTTAGAACAGATTGGGGGGTGGGGGGGCAACATCATTTTTTTTCTACTTTTTTTCCAGTTATAGTTGACATTCAATATTGTTTTTTATTCGTTTCAGCTGTGCAGTATAGTGGTTAGACATTTATATAATTTAAAAAGTGACCCCAGTAAGTCTGTCTGCCGCCCCCCTGGCAGCGTCCGCAGCTATCGCAGTGTTGCCGAGAGCGTGCCCGGCCCAGGCCACCGCTCCCTGGTCCTCCGCAGCCTTCAGGACGCTCCTCACACATCCCTGAGGAACGCCTCTCCCAGGCAGCTGCCAGCAGGGGTTCCCCCCCACTATTGTTCCTGTACTTGTTAAATTCAAGAGTAACACAAGAATATACGCTCACTGTAGAGACAATTTAAGCACATGGAGTAAAGGGTGACCTTGACTCACCACCACAAGGTCATCATCCCTCCTCCGCCCGAGGGGGGAGCTGATCTAGACCCTTCCCTACACATTTCGGGGACAAGATGTGGAAACAAGCGTACGACCGGCTGTTCCAGTCCCTGGGCGTCCTTGTGGTGACGTCCACGCAGACCCCTCATGCCCGGGGCGGGGGCGGCTGTGCCAGCGACCCCCGCTGCAGCTGCCAGCCCGCCCCTCCTGGGAGGGCCCCAGCCTCGACATGCTGCGGGGGCCGAGAGGAAATGGTACTGACCAGGGGACTTACTGTGCTAGCGGGCTGGGGCTCCGTCACGAGATGCCACCATCGAGCTGGCTGAAACAGCAAAGCTTTCTCATGGCCCTGGAGGCTGGACGCCCCCGGTTGTCTCAGGTGAGACCCCCTTCCCGGCCTGCAGATGGTCACCTTCTCTCTGAGCCCTCGCACGGCCATCCCTCTGTGCTGGTCTTACCGGACTAGAGCCCCACATTTATGACCTAGTTTAACTTTAATTACCTTTTAAAGGTCTAGAAACAGTCACACGGGGCCCTGCCGGTGTGGCTCGGGTGGCTGGAGTGTTGTGCTCTGCACCGAAAGGTGGTGGGTTCAGTTCCTGGTCAGGCTCACGCAGAAGGCAGCCGACCGACCAGTGTTCCTTTCACACATCAATTTTTTTTCTCTGTGATATATGTATCATGCATATTCCTCACACTTGGAGGAAGGACTTCAACATCTGAATGTTGAGGGGACAGAGTTCAGCCCATGACACCTGTTCAGGACCATTGTCTTTTAGCCCGAGACCCTGGAGTGCACAGGTCTCCTTTCGTATCACACAACTAGGATGTGAAATGTTCAACTGCCACCAACCTTCAATAGACCTTCACACACAAGACTGACTGGGATACAGCTGTTGGCAGCCGGTTGGGTATTAAAACATGGACTCCCTCCTTTGCTGAGCATGCCCTTCAGCCCCCACCGACCACTCTGCTGAGTCCAGATCAGGCCCACCGCGGCCACTCTCCATCCTTGAGTTGTGTCACTTTGCAGGATGAGAGAAGGGGTCCCTCATAACAAGAGGTTCATTCTGGGAGCCACATCACGGTCCGATCCCAAATCGCAGGACCCTCGACGTCCACCCCTGAGGGAGGGGGCAGTAGTGAAGATAAAATTCCCTCGATCGGTGCTGAAACCCTGCATTTCCTGTGTGCAGTCTAAGCCCCCACCCCAGGCCAGAATCGGGGGCAGAAAGCAGGGGCCAGACGGGCCTGTGCAGTTGGCCACATGTCTGATACTCTCAGAAGCTGATTAGCTTGAGTTTCAAAGTCTCTATTCGGATGCTCCTCTCATTAACTTTACACTCAGTAAACAACCTTTGACTATACCATTTACTAAAACCAATGAAACTTTTGCTAACCTAATTCTCCAACCAGACGTTTGGAAAAGACTGATACTGAAGCGTGAATCATCTATGTAATTTCTCTTCTGGAAAACATCAGTGAAAACACAAATAAATGAAATTGAAATTAAAAGAAAGTAACTTTTAAAATTATGTTGCTATATAAAACATAAGTGACTGTTCAATGCTTTGCCCCAGGAGAGGAAATGAAGAGTCATTGATCCCGGGTGCCTCGGGGACAGCTCCATCTAATGGGCATTTTCATACAACTTTTTAATCCAGATTTCGCAGGAACAGTCACCTAAATGTTTAAGTGGGAACACAGATAACACTTCCCTCTGAAACTCACAGATAGGTTTTTCATGTTGTCTTTTTTTCCCCCATTTTCTGCCCACTTTTATTTGGCCGCTTTCGGAGCTTCGGGTGATGGGATTGAAAGCTGCCCTCTGAGGCGAGTCTCACGCAGCTCTTTCCGGCTGACGTTCTGCCTCTTTACTCCGGAGGTGTTAGGAGGAAGGCGTCACAGTGACTGCAGAAAGCAGCGAAGGTCAGACTGTACCGATGGCATTTGCATTTTACCTGAAATAATGTCTGGGTCTCTCTGTTTTTACCCAGTTGATCCTTTATCAGCAACTGAAATGGGGAGAGAGCATATATATCCTTTTAAAAACATTTTTAAAAGATTAGGTAATAAATTGCCATGTGATCCAGCAATCCCACATCTGGGAATATGTATATCAAAAAGAACTGAAAGCAGGACTTCAAAGAGATATTCGTTCCTGGCAATAAAAGCCAAGAGGTATGAGCAACCCAAGCGCCCAGGATGGATGGGTAAGTAAAATGTGAAACATGCACATAACAGAATATTACTCAGCCTTAAAAAGAAATTCTGACACCACATAGCACAGATAAACCCCTAGGACGTGATGCTGAGTGAAACAGGGTCCCAGAAAGACAAATACTGTCTGATTCTGCTCACACGCTATACGCAGGGCCGTCGAATTCACAGACAGAAGGCAGGACGTTGGTTTCTGAGGGTGGCGGGAAAGAAGGAAGAGGGAGGTTGTGTTCAGGGGACAGAGGCAAGGTGAAAAAATGTGAATATACATGTTCAACACTATAACTTGCACAAAGATGTTTTACTTACGTGCATATACTCAGCACTACTGAACTGTGTACCTGTGATAGTGATTTATGGTAACAAATACCTCCTTGGTCTGCATTCTGGCTCTGGCACTGAGCCCCTAAAGCCTTTGCGATCTCCTGAGGTGGAGCCTGGCCCCCAGCGGGAGGTTGTTCCAGCCAGGGCCACAGTGACGATCGCTTTGTAACTACCTCATTATTAGTAGGAAAGCAGCGAAGGGGAGGCCAGGCCCCTGGGGGCGGGGACTGGACGGAAGGCAGGCGCAGGCCCAGGGAGGCTGGGCTGACCTCGGGAAGGGGCTTGCCGTCGGTCACACCTGGAAACAGGTCACTGGCCAGAACGGGCGCGGCCACCGCAAGGGCAGCAACAGGTAGGATGTAGAATCCCGAGACTTGGTCGTAAGAAATGTGGACCAAACAGGGCCACATACTTTACCCGACAGGCTCGGGGAGGCCTGCGTGGCTGCCTCACAAACTCAGAGACGAAAGTAACCACCAGGATGGGCTGAAATGCAAACTCTTTAACTAAAAGCAGTTTATGGCGGGCAGTCACGTCCTAGGCTACAGTCTCCCCTGACAAAGGTCCATCTCTCCCTCAGCTGAGTCTGTCGTCTTTTTGCACCCACCATAACATGCCTTTCACACGTCAGGGTAACTCCCGCTCCCACACCCTAAGGTCACAAACAGTGCACCAGGCAGAGACCACAAATCCTCCCATTATGGTTAATTGTTGACTATCAGCCGTCTTGTACCCACCTTTGTAAAAGACGTCATTTTACTTTTTACCCAATCCCAGAGGCGTCCTCCACCCCCCCACG